ATTCAGCAGAGGAGCAGCTGCATGCACACAAAAAGCAGACTGTTTTTCTGACACAACTTGCAGCTAAAACCCTTCCTAAAGGTCTTCACTGCCTCCCCCTGAGACTAGCTAATGAATACTTTTCATTGGATCCTGTTCGGCAGCAGTTCCCAAACCAACAAAAACTCATTAACCCAAAACTGTATCATTATGCCTTGTTCTCGGATAATATACTAGCAACATCAGTTGTTGTTAATTCGACAGTGTTAAATGCTAAGGTATGTAAGTTTAGTACTTTTATGGTTCTATATTTGACTTTTAACTGAATGATGGCATCATACTGACTGGAACTATTGTTTCCAGCATCCTTCTGATCATGTTTTCCACATAGTAACTGACAAACTGAATTATGCTCCAATGAGAATGTGGTTCCTCTCTAATCCTCCGGGGAAAGCAACAATTCAAGTACAGCATATTGGGGAGTTTACATGGCTAAATGACAGCTACAGTCCAGTACTCAAACAACTTCGGTCCCAATCCATGATTGATTACTACTTCGGAACGAATCGTGCAAACTCAGATTCAAACTTGAAATATCGAAACCCGAAGTACCTGTCAATCCTTAATCATCTGCGTTTTTACCTACCTGAGATTTATCCAAAGCTTGACAAGATGGTCTTTCTTGATGATGACATAGTAGTAAAGAAGGATCTGACTGGCCTTTGGTCAATCAATATGAAGGGGAAGGTAAATGGTGCTGTTGAGACTTGTGGAGAGAGTTTCCATCGCTATGATCGATACCTGAATTTTTCAAATCCTATTATCGCCAAGAGTTTTGACCCGCATGCTTGTGGTTGGGCTTTTGGAATGAATGTGTTTGACCTGGCTGAATGGAGGCGGCAGAACATAACACAAATCTATCACTCGTGGCAGAAGCTTGTAAGATTCTCACACCCTTGTCACACTGGGTTTTTTATGTCAGCTCGTTTTTCTCATTTTGTCATACATGTTTATGAAAAACAAATTAACTATGCTGCAATTGTAAGTAGCAGTGTTTGTTTGTGTTAGGGTTCAGTAGTAAACTAGAACTTTCTTGGGGTTTATACCTAGAAAGGATGCACTGGAAATACCCACAATGATTTGAACCATATATTCTGCGAAGTGTTAGTCTATACTGTGCCACCAGGGAAGATATTAATTGTGTTGCAGAATTTTTTTTTTGGTGATTTCTGAATTCGGCATTAAGCTTACATTATGAGGTCATTTTTTTCTCGAATAGCGCAGGAGAACTGCGCGTCATTTCATTAAGGTAGAGAAAAAAATTACAAAGGTCCAAGTGACCCAACACACACACCCCACTCCCCAGAACTAGGTAACAGACTCGCCACACAAAAAGGAAAAGGACGACCAAACTTCTCCAAGCATTAAGCTCCAGAAGGCATCAACCTGAAAACCAGCTCCTGGAGTTTGGAGGCCCCGGCCGAGCACCAGAGCCCACCCTCCGAGCTAATAGCCCTAAGGACTTCCTGAACACTTGGCCTCTTATTATCAAAGACACAAGAATTGCGATGCTTCCAAATCTCCCAAGCCACCAAAATTATCAAGGAGTTGAGGCCTTTACGCAAATCCTTAGGGACAGCCGCAGTTGTTCTCTTCCACCACCCTGAGAAACGAATCACAGTAGGCTGTGGTGCCAACTGTAGCATTCCCAACTGATGCAAAACCAGGGCCCAAACTTGCCGGGCAAAAACACAGCCCACTAGCAAATGGTTTATTGTTTCATCCTCTTGATCACATAATGGGCAAGCCTCAGGATGGGGCAGATTCCTCCTTGCAAGTCTATCGGCTGTCCAGACCCGGTTGTGAAATACCAACCAGATGAAGAACTTGCAGCGCGGAGGAGCCCAAGTTTTCCAGATCCTTCTCCAAGACCCAAACTTGAGGACATGAGGACATTAAAACTTAAGAAAAGATTTGGGACCATAATTTCTCTAGAGAATGTATATAAATATTTTTGAACAATTTTTCTCTGTTTTAAATAATGTAGAAAACTTTGTTTCATAACTTATATTCACTCAAATGTATTTGATTCTATTCTCAGTTTATCTTCTTTCATGGGAACTTTGGTTACATGCACTGATTAGATTCAGTACTGAGTAGTTTTAAGTCGATTCCTCTTTTTTTTTAATCTTTTTGCAGAATGAAGATAGATCGCTATGGAAACTTGGTACTCTCCCTCCGGGTTTGATCACATTCTGGAACAAGACATTTCCCCTCAGCCATTCATGGCATGTTCTTGGTCTAGGTTACAATCCCCATGTAAACAGCAGAGACATTGAGCGTGCTGCGGTCATACATTACAATGGCAACATGAAGCCCTGGCTGGAGATTGGCCTGCCCAAGTTCCGGAGCTACTGGTCCAAGTATCTGGATTATGACCAATCTTTCCTGCGGGAATGCAACATTAATCCATGAAGGAACCTGGTCCTTCTAATCCCTTCTGACATAACCAATAACTTATTTTCTGTCGATGTGCCCTTTAGTGTAGTCAGCATAGTATTCAATTTGATTCTTGCTTTAGATTTCAGTTGTTAACAAGATCTCTTATTGCCTGTGCTTCTTGTTAGACCCCTAAGCATAATTGCAGATATAGCTGTAATGTTTTTAGAGCAGGGAAAAATTTAGATAGTGCAATGCTCTTATGTGATATCGCCTTTATGTACTGAATGCTTGCTGCAAACGTGATATGAAATTTGGAAGCAGACTTTGCCATATTCAACTGGGTATGATATTGCATTGCACCCATGAGTTTGTTGCGATGTTGCCCTTTATTTTTTTGGACAGAAACAGTAGCAGAACTTCAGTGCCATTGTACAGATTGAAGTTTGCGTGTCCTATTAAATATTGTTCTCCAGAAGATCTTAGATTGGTTATCATGTCATTCTTACATTATTTTGTCATCCAATATGTTGCGTTGTCATTAATCGACCTACATGCGTTACGAATTTGATCAGTCGTGAGCCACGGTTACTTGGGAATTCAGACTGTCATGTCGTTGAACATTTTGTTGGTATAGATCAGCCGCTCCTTACACCTTAGGGCAGCTGTAATGTTTATTTTCTTAGTAAGGTACAAGGTGTAAGTGTGACAGTCATAGGGTGCTCTACTAGCAAATAAAAGACCCAATGTATAAATTTATTATATACTAAAGTGTTAGGTTCCTAGCAATGTTAAGCTAACACCCTTCCTCCAATATATTGCACCCTTTTCTATTACCTTTCTCTCTCTATTGTGCACCTTCATAGCACATACCATGCAATCGAGTTACCCTTACTCAAAAACGGTGGAATGGTCCAGAAAATTTGGAAAATTGGTTTGAATTTAACTTAGATCTAAAATATTCGGTTATCAACTGGAACTAACATAACACAGGGCTTCGAAGAATCATGTGTTTAAGTCTGTCCAAAGTTTAAAGTTCACATACTCACTAGCTTCTAGAAAGGGATGAATTGCTCACCCTTTTCTTTGAGATATTGAGGGATGTTTTTTTCTCAAAAAAAAGTTCTAGAGAGAGAGAGAATCTGCTGGAGCTATCTTTTTTCCCCCTTCAATCTCCTTTATGCAAGAATATAGGAAAATGAGATATGTTTTCTCAATCTGTAGAGATGCTCTAAGATCGAAAATAAGTGGTGGTGACCCATACCACTGTTGTATATATATGAATATGAATGAACATGTAAAGTTTATCTATTCAGCCTTGTCTCGACTCTCAAATCTCAATTATAACGAAATTCAACATAAATATACTTTGAAACTAAATTATGTTTCTGGCGGCAATGGTAAAATAGATTCTTAGGATCTAAAAAATAATTAAATTGAAAATATTTTCTTAGAATCTTATTATGATTAGAGATCACTATCTATACCTCTTCTATCTTCTATTGGAACAAATAAACGTTTAAAAAAAAATATATACACTCACAACATGAATGTACTAAAAATATTTGACAACAAAAGACGTGAATCTAACCATCCAACAATCCAGGATGCCAAACAACCTCACATGTAATAATCCAAATTAATTATAGATTTTTTTCACAGTCCACGATCTGCTATCAAAGTGGAAACAAACAATGCCTTAATGGCTTAATCTCTATTGACGTCTGACATGCATGCTATAAATTGTAACGAGGACACTGTTATTTACTTATTTATTACCACGACTTGTTGCCTAGTCTAGGTGCAACTCCTTGATTATATCAGTTGAGGAATGCGAAGCTTATTTTTTGACCTTTTCATTTTTGAACACAAATCAGATATGTCACAACATTCCAATTGATGAACTATAGGAACAAATATACTACTAACAATCAAGATATAATCGAAAATACTCCCACCGTCCCAATTATAAGTTATTTTAGTTTTTTCCTAAATCAAATTTCTCCATCTTTAATCTTGTTTATAGAAAAATACTCAAACATATACAACAATAAACTAGATCTCCACAGTGAAATATATTTTGACAGTGTATTTGTTCTATAGTGTAGATATCAATATTTTTTTTCTATAAATTTGATCAAATTAGACAAATTTAACTCTGGACAAAACTACAATAACTTATAATTTAAAATCTGACGGCAACCCGTAATACTCACGTCTCCGGTAACCCGTTGCACGCATCCACCAAAGTAGACTATTCTCCGGGCATGTTTGGTTGGCGAAAAGATGAATCCAACATCCCTTGTCTTTCGAGCTTGTGTCGACGCCAGTGTCTCCATCTTGGCATCTTCTAGACATTAATCAGCCTTTGATACTTGATTGGACGTCGCAATCGTCCATGCAAGTGACGAGATGGAATCGGCACTCAAGCTACTCTTATGTTGTCGCCATATCATTATTACGCCTGATCCAGTCGAATTAATGCTCCACTTGCTAGTAGTAAAACAGAGCAGCACCGAGCAGAAGCAGAGGCGGCGGCTGCTCAAGTAGTCAGCCAGTCTGGGGATCAGCTTCAACTGTTCATGGCTTCGACGACGGCGCACCAGCTCGTGGTGGTCCTGCTCGTTCGGGCCTTGCCGGTGGCCATGTCCGCGTGCACCAGTGAGGTCTTCCCATCAGGGAAGACGTACGTGACGTGCCAGGACCTCCCGGAGCTCGGCGCGGCGCTGCACTGGACCTACTACGCCGACGCGTCCGGGCCGTCGCTGTCGCTGGCGTTCGTGGCCGCGCCGGCAGCGCCCGGCGGGTGGGTGGCCTGGGGCATCAACCCCACTGGCGGCAACGGCATGGTGGGCACGCAGGCGCTGCTGGCGTTCGTCGCTGGCGGCGCCTCCTCGTCCGCGTCCACGCCCACCGTCAGAACCTACAACATCACCAGCTACTACGCGGTCGGCGCCGCCTCGACGCCCATCGCGTTCCCCGCCACTGGCCTCGCCGCCGATGACGTGGGCAGCGGCGGGAGGATCCGGCTGTACGCCACGCTGAAGCTGGACGAGGGGATGAAGGTGGTGAACCAGGTGTGGCAGGTCGGGTCCTCCGTCACCAGAGGAGCGCCTGACGTGCACGCCATGGCCCCCGAAAACCTGGCTGCCATGGGCAAGCTCGTCCTCACTGTCGGGGCTGCCGCAAGCCCTCCAGCTCACGCCGGCGGCCAGTCCAGCGACAGGTCGTCTTCTTGGCCGCCGTCAGGCAGGCAGATCCCACGGGCGGCAGGCACGCACAGGGTCTCCCCGACGGCACACGTTGTACTGGCATTGCTGGGTTTCTGGGCGATGGTAGGATAGGTGCTGTTGTAAACCACATTGTTCATTTTATTTTTGTGTCATTGTAGTTTGTATTCTACTCCTACCTTGCCATCCTTCCGTGATGCAACAAAGATAAATACAATCTCAGTCTCAAAAAATAATGTAAATAGGTCTAGTTAAAATTAAACTATTTTAAATTTAATAACTAAATTTACGAAAATATTACTAACATGTCTGACTCTAAATAAACATAATACAAAATGTATTTTATTTATTCAATATGATAAATATTAGTATTTTTTATATAACCTTGGTAAAAACTATTTTTTTGACTTGACATTATTCTAGAATTATATTCTTCTTTGAACAGGGTAGTAAAACAAACTGAACAGACAAAAAACGTATTATATGTTTTGGGATATATGTTGTTTAAGGCCAGTTTGGGTAGGGGTTTTCAAATGAGTTTCATTCTCATTTAATATTATGACACGTCAATAAATTTACTGAGTTGACTGGTTAAATATGGAGAGAGAGAGTTTTATCTAGATAAAACCTATTATAACTGTGTCATAAAACTCTTGACTGACCTAATAAACTCGTCCAGCTGTAGTCCTGGGTAACAATTTTACTTTAGCCTTACACCATTTTCGAAGATGCAAATGTTAAACGTTCGGTGCTAATGAAATTTTGAGGTCGCTATTTTCTTTACATCGATTTACACCCTTCATTTTGTATGTTCTCAAAGACTCGTTCAGTTAATCCCCTTAATTCCTTTCAATCGTTTTTAATTCCCATCGAATCGACTAAGGGCATGTACAACCGACAGACAGCTGTTGTCTGTAACTTCTTGGAATTTACAACACAAACGGCTAAACAGACAGCTCATACAACCTACAGACAGCTGCTGTTTGTTTGGCTGTCTACCAATCGTTTAATGCTTGCATGTAGTCATGATCAATCATGAATATCATTTCTATGTACCATTGTGTTTCTAATTGATGCAAAATAAATCCTTCAAAGTAAATCATATATTATATATATAATGTAATATAATATATTTCATAGATCAAATATAACACACTGTTATCACGTAACTGAAAATGAGCTTGATGGCAAGCAATCAAGCATTCAGTTAACGTAAAATGAGCCTGATGACATGCAGACAGGTGACACTATGCGGACATGCAAGTAACTGAAAATGAGCCTGATGACAAGCATTCCGTTATCAGGTAACTGACCACAATCAAAATCAAGTAAACATACAAGTAACTGAAAATAGAATTACACAATGTCTCGGCTGTTGCGCGTGAAGGGGCTTTTGCGGTCGTAGCATGCACACGGGATCAACTCTGGCAGGTCGATTTCTGGGAGCACGGGCCGGAGCCGTCGACTCGTGAGACGACGACCCTGCCTCGGCTGTTGCGCGTGAAGGGGCTTTTTACAAATGTTTTGCCATACAGACGGCTCATTAAACAGCGTTGTACGTGCCCTAAGGCGTGAATCACTGAATGATTGTCAACTCTGCGGTTTCACTTGATGCGCTGCCCAAAAGGAAAAAAGGACTCGGAAAATAGAGGTCCTACCAATGGAGTGCTCTTCAATCGTCTCATAAAAAAATAGCACTCAAGGAGAGAAAGAGCAGCAACAGTCATTAGTATTCCTTCATCACGGCGGCTGTGCTCTCTAAAGCCTGGACGGATGCAGCAGCAAATGGTTCAGGGATAGTGGCATGATTCATGAATGGCACACCACACCGGCCTCTACCATGACAAGTTGGTGACCACGACCACCACGGACGGAGACACTCAGGCGGTCAATCTGGCCTGGATGCAGCCGTGGAGGAGGACCAGTTCATGCTCAGTGCAGTTGTTTGTCCCTTTCGAGGGATCAAGGTGCTTGGACAAAGCCTTGACCTATTCCTCTCCACTTCGCACAGGAGCCATGGACTATCCAAAAGATCTCTTTCTTTTCTGAATATATAAGGTTGTGTTTGGTTAAGATAGCTAGTGATGAGATGACCCTATCTCTGATTTCTCAAATGAGATGATCTCATTTCTTGTTTAGTTGTGTAGATAGGACGATCCTTATTGTGTACAGCTAGGGGAACTGTGTCATAAACATCAATGCAAGTAGAAGTGGTATGTCTGCAAGAAACAATCAAACAATCTTTCAAGCCAAGAGAGCTAAGTAATCTAGTTAGAGGGGAAGATATGGATTGGAGGTGCATTGCTCCTAGGGGGAGATCTGGTGGTTTGCTGTTAGGGATTAATAAGGATTCTTTGAAGGTGCTGGATTACAAGAAGGGTAGTTATTTCCAAAGGTTTAGTCTGAAATCTATTGATTCTGGATTTAAGTGGGATATTTTAAATGTTTATGGCCCTGTACAGTTGGAACTCAAGACTGACTTTTTGAAGGAGCTCATGGAGGAAATTTTATTTCAGCAGAACTCTATAATTGTAGGTGGGGATTTCAACTTGGTAAGAGATATGGCAGAGAAATCTAATAGGTCATTAATAGAAATTTGGTTCAGATTTTTAATCAATTTGTGAATGATACTAGTTTGAGAGAACTTCACAGGCATGGTGGTAGTTATACTTGGACAAATAAGCAAGAGAATCCAATTATGGCAGTTCTGGACAGAGTTTTTGTTTCTGCACATTGGGACTCTCAATTTCCATTAGCTACAGTGCATACCTTGACCAGATTAGGTTATGATCATAACCCTCTATTAGTCCAAACTGAAAGTGATAGTAGAGTAAGATCATCAATTTTCAGATTTGAGTCAGCTAGGTTGTTATAGGAAGGTTTTAGGGAGTGGGTGGTAGACAAATGGTCTCAAAGGAATAAACAGTATATTTTAGATCACTGAAAGATTTTGGCCTCAAGTCTTGAAAGGATGGAGCTGGAATTGGGGGAGTGATCAGAGGAAACTGAAACAAAAACTGTTGACATGTATTGAGGAGTGGGATAAGCTAGCAGAAAGCAGAGGCCTGAACAGTCAGGAATGGCTGGACAGATATGAGAAGGAGAATGAACTAGTAGCTATTTATGAGGATGAGGAATTAATGTGGCAAAGAACAGGAGGGGAGAATTGGCTGCTGCAAGGTGACTCTAACACAAGGTATTTTCATGGGGGTGGCAAATGGCAACAAGAGAAAATGTTTAATAAAGAGTTTGGTTGATGGGGACAGATTTTGATTGAGGATAAAGAGGAGCTGAAGAAATACATAATTGATTTCTATAAGGGACTGTTTGGAAGTGAAAGAGATCCCAGAATCAAACTAGGGGAAGATTTCTGGAGATTTAAAGGAAGAGTGGAGGCATCAGACAATCAAGCTTTAATTAAACCTTTTTCTATGGAGGAGTTTGAAAATGCTGTCAAGGAGATGAAGGCTAACTCTGCACCTGGGCCTGATGGTTTCTCCACTCTGTTTTTCAAAAATTTTCAGGGGTTTGGTGAAGTATAATATCTTTGAGATGCTTCAAATGCTGCACCAGAACAAGTTGGACATTGCTAGGCTCAACTATGGGGTGCTAGTACTAATTCCTAAGATCAAGGGGGCTAACAAAATTAAACAATTTAGACCAATTTGCTTGCTTAATGTGATTTACAAGATTATCACTAAAGTTCTTACTTTGAGGCTGAACAATGTGGCTAGTAAAGTAATTAGTGAAGCTCAAACAGCTTTTATCCTTAGGAGGTTCATCTTGGATGGTGTGTTGATTGTTCATGAGGTCCTGCATGAGTTGAGGGTGAAGAAGGAACAAGGAATTGTACTAAAACTTGACTTTGAGAAGGCCTACGACAAGGTGAACTGGAGCTTCCTGAGTGATGTTTTGTTGAGGAAAAATTTCAGTGAAAAGTGGATTGATTGGGTGATCAGCACTGTGCAAGGGGGTAAAGTGGCTGTGAACCTAAATGGTGAAGTTGGCTCTTATTTCAGGAGCTACAAGGGGCTTAGGCAGGGAGATCCTCTTTCCCCTTTACTCTTTAACCTCATGGCTGATGCTCTTTCAGAGATGTTGGAAAAGGCCAAGTCAAGGGGGGTCATACATGGAGTGGTACCTGGGTTAGTTGAGGGTGGGCTAACACATCTGCAATATGCAGATGATACTATACTTTTCTTGCAAAATTCCAAGGAGGATATCATAAATCTCAAGTTCATATTATTCTGTAATGAGGAGATGCCTGGAATGAGGATTAATTACTCTAAGAGTGAAGTTTTTAATGTTGGCTTATCAGAGGAAGTTGGGCAAGAGGTGGCAGATGCTTTCAACTATAAACTAGCCAAGTTCCCTATGAAGTATCTGGGCCTTCGTATTAGTGATAGTAGACTCTCCATGGTTGAATTGAGTGATGCTGCTAAGAAAATGGAGAAAAGGTTGCAGACCTGGAATGTGGTCATCTATCTTTTGGTGGTGGGGGGGGGGAGGGGGGGCGAGATCTATACTAATTGACAGCTGTCTTACCAACATCCCCATGTACACTATGGGTTTCTACTGGGTGCATGAAGGAACCCATCAGAGGTTTGATTCTACAAGAGGCAAATATTTTTGGGAAGGAGTAGGAAACAAGAAAAAGTATCACATGATTAAGTGGGAGGCTCTGGATAAGCCCAAAGAATTTGGAGGGCTGGGTTTTATTGACACTAGGGCTATGAATGTTAGTCGTTGAACTCTCACTCTCGGTAGTAGCAGAATTCTTACTCTCATCGAGAGAGGATGACACTAGGAGTTGGGGCAATTTTCTGGTTTATTTCTCACACAAACTCACACAAATGCCATGCCAACCTGAGGGGTTGGGGATACATATTTATAGGCTGCTAACCAGCCAAGCATATACCAAGATGCTAGTCTAAGATGCTAATATGCTGTCCTCTAAGATGCTGTCCTAAGATACTGTCCTAGAGTCTAAGATGCTAGTCCTATATGCTGTCCTAGATGTTGTCCTTCAGTCAAGGATGCTGTCCTTGATAACCACCATGCAGCAGCCCCACAAAGACTTATCCATCATTCTCCCCCTAAGTCTTGTGCGTCGT